GTTGAAACCCTGAATAGGCCAATAACAAGGTCTGAAGTTGAGGCAGCAATTAATAGCCTACCAACTAAAAGAAGTCCAGGTCCAGATGGTTCACAGCTGAATTCTACTAGACACACAAAGAGGAGTGGTACCATGTCTGTTGAAACTATTCCAAACAATACAAAAAGAGGGAATCCTGCTTAACTCTTTCTATGAGACCAATATCATCCTGATGCCAAAATCTAGCAGAGACACAACTAAAAACGAAAACTACAGGCCAATATCCATGATGAACATTGATGCAAAAATCTTCTATAAAATACTGGCAAACCGAATCCAACAGCACCTCAAAAAGCTTACCCACCATGATCAAGTAGGCTTCATACCAGGGATGCAAGGCTGGTTCAACATATGCAAGTCTATAAATGTAATTCACCACATAAACAGTACCAAAGACAAAAACCACATCATTATCTCAATAGATGCAGGGAAGGCCTTCAACAAAATTCAACTGTGCTTTATGCTAAAAACTCTCAACAAACTAGGAACATATCTCAAAACAACAAAAGCTATTTATGACAAACCCACAGCCAATATCATATTGAATGGGCAAAAATTAGAAGCATTCTCTTTAAAAACTGGCATTAGGCAAGGATGCCCTATCTCCCCACTCCTATTCAATATAGTATTGAAAATTCTAGCCAGAGCAATTAGGCAAGAAAAAGAAATAAAGGGCATTCAATTAGGAAAAGAAGAAGTCAAATTGTCCCTATTTGCAGATGACATGATCGTATATTTGGAAGATGCCATCATCTCAGCCCAAAACCTCCTTAAGCTGATAAGCAACTTCGGCAAAGTCTCAGGATACAAAATCAATGTGCAGAAAATACAAGCATTCCTATACACCAAAAACAGAGAGCCAAATCATGAGTGAACTCCCATTTACATTTGCTACAAAGAGAATAAAATACTTGGGAATAGAACTAACAAAGGAGGTTAAAGATCTCTTCAAGGAGAGCTATGAACCACTGATCAAGGAAATAAGAGAGGACACAAACAGATGGAAAAACATTCCATGCTCATGGTTAGGAAGAACCATTATTGTGAAAATGGCCATACTACCCAAAGTAATTTATATATTCAATTCTATCTCCATCAAACTACCATTGACCTTCTTCACAGAACTGGAAAAAACCACTTTGAACTTCATATGGAACCAAAAGAGAGCCCGCATAGCCAAGACAATCCTAAGCAAAAAGAACAAAGATGGAGGCATCGTGCTACTTGACTTCAATTTATACTACAAGGCTTCAGTAATCAAAACAGCATGGTACTGGTAGCAAAACAGAGATACAGACCAATGGAACAGAACAGAGGCCTTGGAAGCAATGCCACACATTTGCAACCATCTGATCTTCGACAAACCAGACAAAAACAGCAATGGGGGAAGGATTCTCTGTTTAATAAATGGTGCTGGGAAAACTGGCTAGCCATATGCAGGAAGCTGAAATTGGACCCCTTCCTTACACCTTATACAAAAATTAACTCCAGATGGATTAAAGATATAATCATAAGAACTAACACCATAAAAACCCTAGAAGAAAACCTAGGCAAAACCATTCAGTACATAGGCACAGGCAAGGATTTCATGACTAAAACACCAAAAGCAATGGCAACAAAAGCCAAAATAGACAAATGGGACCTAATTAAACTTAAGAACTTCTGCACAGCAAAAGAAGCAATCATTAGAGTAAACCAGTAACCAACAGAATGGGAAAAAATTTTTTTCAATCTACCCATCAGACAAAGGGCTAATATCCAGAATCTACAAAGAACTAAAGCAGATTTACAGGAAACAAACAAACAAACAAACAAACAAACAAACAAACCCATCCAAAAGTGGGCGAAGGATATGAACAGATACTTTTCAAAAGAAGATATATATGAGGCCAACAAACATATTAAAAATGCTAATCATCACTTGTCATTAGAGAAATGCAAATCAAAACCACATTTAGATACCATCTCATGCCAGTTAGAATGGCAATCATTAAAAAGTCTGGAGACAACAGATGCTGGAGAGGATGTGGAGAAAAAGAAACACTTTCACACTGTTGGTGGGAGTGTAAATTAGTTCAACTATTGTGGAAGATAGTGTGGTGATTCCTCAAGGATTGAGAAATAGAAATTCCATTTGACCCAGCAATCCCATTACTGGGTATATACCCAAAGGATTATAAATTATTCTATCATAAAGACACATGCACGTGTATGTTCATTGCAGTGCTGTTTATGATAGCAAAGACTTGGAACCAACCCAAATGCCCATTGATGATAGACTGGACAGGGAAAATGTGGCACATATACACCATGGAATACTATACAGCCATAAAAAATGATGAGTTGACGTCCTTTATAGAGACATGGACGAATCTAGAAACCATCATTCTCAGCAAACTGGCACAAGAACAGAAAACCAAACACTGCATGTTTTCACTCATAGGCGGGTGATGAACAATGAGAACACATGGGCCCAGGGAAGGGAACGACATTCACAGGGCTTGGTGGAGGGGAGGGAAGGGGGCACTGTGAGCAGGGGGAAGCGGGCAAGAGAGGGAGGGATAACACCTGGAGAAATGCCTGATGTAGGCAACGGCAGCGGGGGATGGAAACAGGAAACCACCATGGCATATATGTACCTATGCAACAATCCTAAAGGATGTGGGATGTACACATGTACCCCGGAGACCAAATACACACACACGTGCACACACACACACACACACACACACACACACATAAATCAATACTTGGATGATTAGATGTGGGAGGGTCAAGGGAAAGCAAATAACCTAATTTTATTTTGCATGGCATGTAAGCCCTAAAAATGGGGCTTAGCCTGGGAGATTTCTTGGCTTTGCTCAGGAAAGAATTCAAGAGTGGCCCAGTGGCAGAAGAAAACAGCTTTATCGAGGTGGCAGTGTTACAGCTTCATGACCACTGCTGCAGAGCAGGGCTTGAGAGTAGCTGCTGAGGGGCAGTTGTGAAGTCATCTATAGACTCACTTATAATTATATACAAACTAAGTGTAGGTTATTCAGAAATTTCTAGAAAAGGGGTGGTATCTTTTGAGCTATTGCCATGGAAAGGAAAGACAAATTCCAGGTGTTGCCATGGCAATGATAAGCTGTCATGGTGTTGGCAAGTGTGTCTTATGGAGAATTGCTTTTGGTGCCTCTTTCATGTTTCAGCCAATCTTCAATCTGGTCTGGAGTAAAGCCATGCCTCCTAACCTCAATTTGCCACCAAGTTTCTTGCTAGGACAATGTCATTAAATCCTGAGAAAGGAACACAGGTGGAGAAGCAGATCTAGGGGATTAGGTTTTGAGCATGTTGCATTTGAGGTGCCTGTAGGGTATCTTGACAATTTTTTTTTTAAAGTCATGTGATTTCAAAGCTACAGAAAGAGATAAGGGCTGTGTATTCTACAACAGATAATATTAGAGAGAGATAGTATGTTTAATAGTTTGAAAATATGGTTTCTAGAGCCAGACTACCTGAGTTTGAGTTCTATGCCCATCATTTATTGACTTTAAGCTTGAGCAGGTTACGTAATTTCTCTGTGCCTTTGTTTCCTCATCTGTGTGAGAATAAAATGAATTGATATGTGTAAGCTCTTTGATCAGTTCTTGGTACACAGTAAGCACCATATGCTTGTTTGGTGTATTGTTATTTTTATTTTATCTCTTATCAGACCTGTGCTAAGAGATTATAGGCATTTTTTCATTTAATCTCCATAATACCCTGTAATGATGACACCGTTTTTATGAGAAGAAATTGAAACCTTACTCTGACCAACTTTCCCAAAGTCACCCACTGGGAAACAAGGGCTAGAGCCAAGATGCAAACCAAGGTTGGAGTGCCCATTTTAAAAATGGGATTATTTGTTTTTTTACTGTTGAGTTGTTTGAGTTCCGTATATATCTGGATATTAGTCCCTAGTCAGATGAATAGTTTACAAATATTTTCTCCCATTCAGCAGGTTGTTGTTTCACTCTGTTGGCTGTTTCCTTTGCTGTGCAGAGCCTTTTTTTTTTTTTTTTAACTTAGTCCCATTTGTCTACTTTTGGTTTTGTCACTTGTGCTTTTGAGGTCTTAGCCATAAATTCTGTACCTAGGCCAATGTAATGAGGCATTTCCCCAGTGTTTTATGGTAGTAGTTTTATAGTTTGTGGTCTTATGTTTGAGTCTTTACTGTATCTTGAGTCGATTTTTGTATGTTTTGTAAGATAGGAGCACAGTCTCATTCTTGTGCACATGGATATCCAGTTCTCCCAGCACCATTTATTGAAAAGCACCATTTATTGAAAAGAGCGTCTTTTCCCCAATAAATGTTCTCGGCACCTTTGTCAAAAGTCAGTTTGTTGTAGAAACGTGGATTTATTTCTGGATTCTCTATTCTGTTTTGTTGGTCTATGTGTCTGTTTTTATACCAATACCATGCTCTCTCTTTTGGTTACTATAACGTAGTATATTTTGAAGTCAAGTAGTGTGATGCTTCCAGCTTTGTTCCTTTTGCTCAAGCTTGTTTTGGTTATTTGGACTCTTTTTTGGATTCACCCACATTTTAGGATTGTGTCTTCTATTTCTGTGAAAAATGACATTGGTATTTTGATAGGGATGGCCTTGAATCTACAGATTGTTTTGGATAGTATATCTAATAGCTTTGATGTATGGTGAAGGCACTGAAAGTTTGGAACCTCAGAGCTAGCTCTCTGTTTAAAGAGTGCTTTCTCCTTTCCCTAGGGTGGTGGTCACAGGAATTAAAACAATCATGACTTCTTCTATGCCCCAGCTTAGTGTTTCCTCAAGTCCTTTAGTCTGGGTTCACTTTCTTTACCTGGGGTCTCCTGGAATTCATTCTGTATATCTCTATTAGTTTGCTAGTGATGTCATAACAAAGTGCCACAGACTGAATGGCTTAAACAACGGAAATTAATTTTCTTACAGTTTTCTTACAGTGGAGGTTGGAAGTCTGAGATCAAGGTGTTAGCAGAATTGGTTTTTCTCTGAGAGTCACGAGGGAAAAATGTGTTTCAGGTGTCTTCCCTTGGCTTGTAGGTGACTGTCTTCCTTGTCTTTTTGTCTTTGATCATGTTTCTTCCCTTTATAAGGACACCAGTCATTTTGGATTAGAGAACACTCTAAAGACCTCATTTTCACTTAATTACCTCTGTAAAGATCCTGTCTTCAAATAAGGTCACATTCTAAAGTACTAGATTTTAAGGCTGGGTGCAGTGGCTAATGCTTGTTATCCCAGGGCTTTGGGAGGCTGAGAAGGGAGGATTGCTTGAAGCCAAGAGTTCAAGACAAGCCTGGGCAACATAGCGAGATCCCATCTCTACAAATAATAATGATAATGATAGTAAGGTATTAGAGTTTAAGAACTTCAACATATAAATTTTGAGAGGACACAGTTCAGTCCATAACAAAATCAATACCCTGAGGATGTTTATTTTAATTGTTAAAGACTTTGACTTTGATGAATCCAGTATACAATTTTATGAACTACAAGTAAAGAAACATATTCTAGTCCATAATTTTGTGGTAGCAAACAAAGGAAATACATTTTTGTTCTACATCCTCTCAGTCTGATCTTCCTTTTCCAATGCATAAGATACTAAAGACTTTATTCCTTCACTTTATAAGGAATACAGTTTTGAACTCAGTTTTGAAATGAAAATCCACATATATTTCTGCTTACTCAGCTTATTCTGTCTCATGATCAATATCTTTTAGGAAATGAGAAAACCATGACTATCATCACCAAAATCCTTGAGTTTTAAGTGCACCCACTCTCCGAGATGCTGTGGGGAAAAGGCAAGTTGCAAAGATAGGCCTTCCTTCAAGATAGTCAGATTTTTGTGGTATTATTCTCAACCTTTTTGACACCATAGAGGCTTTGGGAATCTGATGAAGCCTATTGCTCTTTTTCCAGAAGATATTTATATAAGATTATAAGAAAAATATGTACACAGCTTATTTTATTTCATTAGATCAAAATGTCTTTTATAAGGAATTGTGCCTTTTCCATCAATTTTAGCATAAAAAAGTAATTTCAGGCAATATGCTTAGAAATTGGGGGAGCTAAAAAAGAAATTCATAGTGTATAAATAAAACTAAAAACAAATTTTAATTTTGCTAAAAAATAAATTTCAATGAGAACGCATCTCTTCTTTATCTCTCTCTCTCTCTCTCTCTCTCTCTCTCTCTCTTTTCTTTTTGAAACAGAATTTCATATTTCTTGCCCAGGCTGGAGTGCATTGGCATGATCTCAGCTCACTGCAACCTCTGCCTCCCAGGTTTAAGCAATTCTCTTGCCTCAGCTTCCCAAGTAGCTGGGATTAAAGCTGCGCGCCATCGTGCCCAACTAATTTTGTATTTTAGCAGAGATAGGGTTTCACCATGTTGGCCAGGCTGGTTTTGAACTCCTGACCTCAGGTGATCCAGATGCCTTGGCTTCCGAAAGTCCTGGGGTTACACATGTGAGCCACCGCACCTGGTCTTTTCCTTATTTTGAATGAGAATCTGAAATTAGAATATAGTTTTTGACATAGCACTAGGTGCACTTTCCTGTAGACTTTCTGTTTTGGTGGTAATACATTCTAAAAAGCTGGGCTCATAATAGCATGTTGTAGCAAACAGTATCAGTCCAAGCTCACAGAGGACACAATGGGCTTGTGTCAAAATATTTCAAGACTATCTGAATTAGACTTGTATCCTTTAATTTCCATTGGCTTCACATCACTGAGTTTCATCTTGAGCAAGGAGATATTGTTGATGTCAGCAAAGGAAGGATTAAGAACCCATGTTTCAATTTTAAGGTTGTCTGAGCAGAAGTACTTTTAAAAAGAGTTATGCTGAGTTTTGGGTTGTCTGCATATTTCTATATCACAGATTTGTTTAAAAAGGTTCATATTCTGCTTTCATTTTCTGAGAAAACATATTTAAAAGGCAATGATTCAAGGCCCTCACATTAGTTGATACTTTGCTACAGACAAGCAGGACCATAGAAAGCAATGAGTCAGATCTTATTGCATAAAGATACTTCCTCCTCTAAAACTGTGAAACTCTAAGATGTGCTACTCTGCACCACAAGTGTTCTGTTTGTTCACAAATTGTCCAGTGAGGTTTATGTGCAACAGAAACTTACCAACATTCCAAAGTTATTGATGGATTTTAAATTTCAGAAAGGAGTTGCTAAACAGGAAATCATCTTTGAAGGCATCAGTTGGCTGCATAAAATATCTTCTAATTCCTTCATCACATGTCTCAAAACATTAAGTTTTAAAAGTCAATCATCATGGAATTATTTTCTTTTATTTATTTTTTGAGATGGGGTCTCAATCTATACCCAGGCTGGAGTGCAGTGGCGTTATCTTGGCTCACTGAAACCTTTGCCTCCTGTGCTCACAGGCTCCACCTACCTCAGCCTATGAAGGAATTGAGACCGCAGGCATGTGCCACCACACCTAGCTAACTCCTGGTATTTTTGGTAAGGATTGGGAATCACCATGTTGCCCAGTCTGGTCTCAAACTCCTAACCTCAAGTGACCCTCATGCCTTGGCCTCCCTAAGTTTTGGGATCACAGGCACGAGCCACCATCCTTGGCCAATAATTTCATTTTATATAGACACTACATTTACCTCCTTCTTCTGCTTCAAGCCACACACTAACTTAATTTTTTCTGGGGTACATGGCTTTTACCAGTTACCTTGTTTCTACACTGACACTATGCTGCTGCCTAGTGTACAGTCAGATCAAATTTTGGCGAAGTTTTGCCTTTTCAACTCCAGCCATCCTTGAGATCTATGCTAATATATTTTTGGAACAAAAAGCATGAGATGTCACTTCAGCATTTTTGGCTTAATGCTCCTTCCATTAGCACTTGGGCCTTGGTGTTCTATCATACATAGTAGAAAGCAAAGCCAAAGGATATTGGATATATTTTGTTAGGTTTTTTTTTTTTTTTGACATTTTTCTAACTTAAGTCAGTCCTAAAGTAAAGATAGATGCTCATGATCATCATCGAAGGGCACAGGTTCACTAATTCCTACCAGTGGGAAGCTGTTCTGACACACCATGACCACACTGATGAGTATACAGTGCTTGTCTACAGGAGCAGCCCAAAACAGACAGAAAATCATGTGTACACCAAGATAATTCGGGAAAATCAAATAAAAATCACTGCAGCATATCCGTGAGCATTTTTGTTTGTTTGTGCATGTGTGCATGCAGGTACGTATCCACATGCCTGATTTACAGACCTCCCTTTGATGTCCTTCGGTAGACATCAGACTAAGAGCCCTGCTGTGAAGGAGTGGACAGCCCCTTCAACTGAACCCCAGATTCAATGTGATGACAAAGATCCATGTGAGCCCTGTGAAAGGGGAAACTGCCTTTTCTAGTGGCCTTAGAAAAGGCTTCACAAGGACCCAATAGATAACATTTGAGCTGCAACTTCAAGGTTGAGTAGAAGGTTACTAGGTCGAGAAGAGGAGAAAGGATATTTTAGCAGAAATTCAAAAGGGAGAAGCTATAACCTGGGAAATGTTGGTGACTGTGGATGACCCTAAGAAACTAAAGAGTTATGTTGGAAATGTTTAGCTACCGAGACAGAGATAACCACTCAGGCCTGAATTTTAACTCTACTATTTACTTCTTTGATCCTGGAAAAATTATGTAATCTGTTTTCACCTCAGTTTTCTCATTTTTAATATGGGAGAGCAGTTGGGGTCAACATGTGCTAGGCATCTTGTGTTTGTGCAGGTAGGATTTCTTTAACCCCTCCTTGCCACACTAAATACATGAACACCCTATGATATGGAAATAGCCACTCTGCTCTTTGCTAAGGGTAACAATAACAATAATAGTACTAATTCTAGTAGATGAAATATAAGGAACCTCTACTTTATGCCAGGTATTCTAACAAGTAATTTGCATGTATCTTCACATCTTGTCCTAATAATACTTGAGACAAAAGCTGTCATTATGTCAATGATGAGGAAATTGAGACCTGAATATGCTAAGTGACACAGCCAAAACAACACAAATAGCAGTAAGAAAGCTGGGACTTAAATCAGATTTTTTTCCTTCTCTGCTGTGTTTAAAATTTCCTCTGGTGGTTGATTTTCAATTGTATTCGGTGAACTTCATGCTCTGCCCCTCAGATTGATGCCTCCCATGGATGGTCTGCTCACATCTGATTGGCTTCTTTCCATGAAGTTGCTTCTCAGATCATCCTCCTCTACTGTCTGCACACACTTCAGTGTGTGTGCAAGTAACACATGCCCCCACTTGACCTGGAATTGAGGAAAACTGCTTCAGCTAGAGTGCAGGGGTGTAGGACCCTGCTTGTCTGAGAGAAGGAATTTGAGGGGCTAGTGATCTATTGTCAAGCCTGAGTAAAATACATTTTGCCATTGAAAGTAATGGCCAAAACCACAGTAACTTTTGCACCAACCTAATAGTACCCCTGATACCTCTGCATGGCCCGAAAGTGTATTAAGCAAACGTTGTAACTGCCCTGGGTTTCACCTGTATGATCAGGAAACTAAACAGAGGGGAGAGAAAGGAAAAGAATGCCAAAGAATAAAACAGATTCTTTCAAAAAAGGCTCATAGGATCAGGGCATGGTTCTTTTCTGGGGTCCATACTAACATGCTATTCCTTCTCATTCCTTCTGAGGAATTCTGTCAGGCTACAATCAATGGAGCAGCGTGTTCCACCTGGGGGAAATGACTCCAGCTGGATCCAGCTTGATTAATCTGTTGTTTATATTTTTGAATTTCCTCCTTCATATCTTTTCCTGTAAAATTATCCATCTGGCTCAAGGTTATAGAAAGAGACTGTTGATTTCTGCCATTTTTATTTATTTATGTTGATTCTGCAAAGTAGCCTGGTAAGGAGTAAACTGGGACAGAAGCAGAAAATGGGGCTTGCCCACCACTCTACCACTCTTGGGAAGATTGAGGCTTAGGGTGCAATCATCCACAGCCTGTAAATACCCTGGACTCCTTTCTGATTCTGATTCTAAAACAGCATCTGAGGCTTCCTGTCACAGTGGATAGAATCCTTCCTCCTGCTTAAGACAGTCACACTGAAAGTCACACAGATGGGCTTTCTGGGTGGCATCATCTGCTTCTCTTGGTATCCCTCACCCACATTTTCATTATACAATATATTTTGAGCTGGATTGTTGTCATTTCAAAGGCATATTTGTACATATAAATTAGCAAGAGATTTCATTTAGCCAAGTAACATAAGAGAAACCTTTGCCTGAAACCTCTCTCCAAGATACCTCCTTTACCACAAAAAAAGTATTACTACACACTCTCGCATGTGTTGACCATTTGGTCTTCCACATGAAAGCCTGTAAATGAGGAAATCAGAATAAAGAAAATATTTATATTTGAAGCACTTTGAACACAAAAAGGGGTGCCATACCAATGGCTTCTTGCATTAGGGTTGCATTTGATGGCTCTTCACACTGAAGTTTCATTTTTGTCCATTCCTATGTTGAAGAAATTGCACCTGAAGCCCAGACATGTTTACAACAAACCCATGCAGCTAGGCCATCAAGAACTTAGGTTTCCTAAGAACCAAGTAAGTTCTCAAAACATCTCAGGAGTTTTAACTAGTCCTCACAACTCTGCCATGAAGTTGGACATTTTTTATCTGCCTCCAAACAGGAGGTAAAACGTCTATTTGACTTAAGGTCAGAGAGAGAGGTGGGGAGTGCCAGAGAAGACCAAAACAAGAATTGAGCTTGATGTGAAATCAAACCCTGTTAGCTCAGCAAAGTCAAGGAGAGAACGCAGGGGAATATGGCAGCACAGTCAATGTTTTTCACAGTGATGATATTATAATGCAGCAGAAAAGGATGCTAAATATCTGCCTTGTGCATTTTCTGTGACTGAGGAGGCTCAGGAAATGGAGTGGGATGAGGATGGGCCAGTGTAGGTGAAGAGGAAAAAGCAGAGCTTGAAAGTTCATGTGTCAGTATAAGTGGTAGGTAGAGAGAGATACTGAGGCTGAATGTAGAAGTGATGAGGATGGGGAGAGTGGGACAGAAAAATCTGTCATAATTATATGAGAAAGATGGTGGAAGAGATTTGATTGGCCTAGGAGTCAAGGTAGGAA